CTAACTCCTCCTATTGTTGGGATCTGACGCAGGTCTACAGCTGTGACACTATCACGTCCAAAGTGTGTCTACAGATTTGTAGATTCACACAAAGGCGTTTAATCAAGATAATATCACTTTGGTATATTCCCTTTGAGGATAGGCATCTGCCACAGACTAATATTATGATGTGAACGTAAAAAACAATATGTTTTTTTATTTAATCGCACTAACTAGAGAACTGCAACTATAAATACTATATTCTACTATACTTACTGCTATCCAGGTTGAGGAAAACACACTTCAAAATCTGGTAATGAGTGTGTACGTGTGAGTAGAGAAAATCTCACCATCCTGTCGGTGAGTTATGTTCCACTATCGCTAAAAAAGAGCTACAGTTGTCTATTTCACAATCTCTGTCAACCGAAACATTTGCAGATATTTTATTAAAGATTTAATGTGTGTCGATTCGTCAATATCAACATTCTTGAATTAGAATAATAACTGAAGACCTTGTAAGTTACGTAATTAACTAATAAGTATCTGTTAGTCTGATATTAAAGAAGGCATAGTCCCTTCCTCAGCTGAAAAAATAAACACACCAAATTATATTCTGTATCATTAGCACTTTAGCAAACGTTCTCCTGAGTGAGCTAAATTACACGTGGTGGAACAAAAGTGCATTCAAGGCTTCCGTTCAGTTCAGCCGGGAGGATGCTCAGCTGAGGGTCTTATTATGTGCTGTAGTGGATTAAGCTCCAAGTGATGGTGTGAGTGATGGAAGGTTCACAGCCTCCGGCTCCGGCTCTTATATGAGGCTTCCGGGGATGGCGTGAGTGGTGGAAGGTTCACAGCATCTGGCTTTCATACGAGCCCCAAGGACTGAACGTTAACATATAAAGAAAAAGAGGGCTGAAGGAGCTATGACAAGGATCAGTAGTGCTAACGCCACCGTAGATCGGTCATAAGCTCCGTCAGTGAGAATTTCTTGAAAGACACGGATAAAGGGGCAAGCAGACTGTCAATTATGAGGTGCATTCATAGAGCTGACTAACACAACTATGAGGATTAAAAAAACGTATGGTTAAATTGGAGCTAATACAGTATTTGCAATATCTTACACACACACACACACACACACACACACACACACACACACACACACACACACACACACACACACACACACACACACACTCACACACACACAACCTTGGGACCCATGTAATGTGTGTGCGTGAACGTTCAAGTCTGTAACAGCTTCCACTTTGTAGCTATGGTTGGAATAAGCAGACATACTTTGATATTTATTAATATTGATATCAAAATATGCAGATACAGCATGGACATTAATAACAATATTGACATGGCTGAGCCATGTACAGGTAGTAGGTAGTAGGCAGCTACCAAACAGGGAGGCACTACCGCCTGGGAAGATATTGGAAGCATAATGTGTTGTCTAATGGTAGACCCTGCTGCTATATGGCATCACAAAAATTGTGACCAAGTCCCAGGTTGTTGATCTGACTTTCTGCCTCATTTACACGCAATTGCAGGGCCTCAATTGTTTCTCATACAATTGACAACACAACATACAGTATATTGTTTCTCATTTTTTATATATTTTTTATATTATTATTGTTGTTGTTGTTGTTGTTGTTGTTGTTGTTGTTGTTGTTGTTGTTGTTGTTGTTGCTGTTGCTGTTGCTGTTGCTGTTGTTGTTGTTGTTGTTGTTGGTGTTGGTGTTGTTGTTGTTGTTGTTGTTGTTGTTGTTGTTGTTGTTGTTGTTGCTGTTGTTGTTCCCCAGGCCCGATGTGGGTCAGTGACCTGTGCCCAGGTTGGCTATTCCCCGTAAAAAAAAGAAAAAAGAAATAGAGCCTGAGCTGATATATACTGTACATTTATCTCAAAGAATTATTATATATCATTTAGTATCTGGATTAGTACACGTAACATGATGATAGGAAATAGATATGAGAATGATACCACGATTCTCACTTTTTTTTACATGGAGTTGATATGTACATAAGAACATAAGAACATAATAAAATAAGGAGTCTGCAATAGACCGGGTGGCCTGTGCATGGCAGCTCCTGTCGAGAGTTACAACCACTCTCTATGGTCCATGAATCTATCTAGCCTCCTTTTAAAACTTTCCAGTGTCCCAGCACGTACTACAAAGTTGCTAAGCTTGTTCCACTCGTCTACCACCCTATTTATGAACCAGTTTCTTCATAACTCCCTCCTAAAAATAAACTTATCTAACTTAAATCCCTTTGCTACGAGTCCTGTCCTGCTCGGATATTACAAGAACTTTATATATGTCTCCTTTATTGATTCCTTTCACCCACTTAAATAATTCTATCATATCTTCCCGCATTCTTCTTCTTTCAGGGATGCAAGTTTAGTTTCTTTAATCTATCTTGATATGGAAGGTTTCTAAGTCCCGGAATCATTTGTGTCATTCTTCACTGCACCGACTCCAGTGAATTGATATCTATTCTATATTAAGGGCACCAGAACTGGACAGCATAATCGAGGTGCGGCCTGACTAGCTCAAGATATAATTGCAATATGACCTCCCCACTCTTATTACTTACACTTCTAGTTATAAAACCTAATACTCTGTTTGTCTTATTTCGAACGTTAACGCACTGTTTTCTAGGCCGAAGGTCCTGGCTTACAAGTACCCCTAAGTCTCTTTCACAAGTCGAATTCTCTAGGTTGATGTTGTTTAGGCTGTATACATTCACAGTATTTGTTCTTCCAATATTAAGTACGCTGCACTTGCTGATGTTGAATTCCATTTGCCATTTTTCTGACCACTGCTTTAATCTATTTAAATCCTCCTGTAGTGCTTTTGCATCCTGCCCTGAATTAATGTGCCCCCTATTTTGGTGTCATCCGCAAATTTGCTTTATGTCACTGCTGATCCCAGTATCTAGGTCGTATATGTAGATTACGAACTAGAGTGGGGTCAGTACTGATCCCTGGGGAACCCCACGATTTACACAGCCCCACTCCGATTTAAGACCATCTACGCTGACCCTCTATGTTCTATCGGTGAGCCATGATTTTATCCAATTTAAGACTTTCCCCTCGATACCATGAACCTTAACTTTTCTCAGAAACCTCTGATGCGGTACTTTGTCAAACGCTTTGCTAAAGTCTAAGTAAATAATATCATAATTTTCGTCATTATCTACTACCTCATAGACTTTCCTAAAAAACGTCAGCAGATTTGTTAGACAAGATTTTCCCTTTGTATATCCATGTTGAGAGTCGTAGATTGATTTGTTTTTCTCTAAATGTGCTCGGATGCTATTTGCTATAATTGCTTCAAGAAATTTCCTCACTACTGACTACAAACTAATCTGCCAGTAATTTTAACCCTGATGCTCTGTCTCCCTTTTTCAATATGGGTACTTCATGTGCCTCTTTCCACAAGTCTGGTACAACTCCCATGTCTAATGATTTTGTAAATAAATTTACGAGGGGTCCGCTAATCTGTTCCTTACACTCTTTCAAAACTCGAGGGAAAATTTCATCCGGCTATGCAAATTTTGTCTTCTTTAATTTAATTATCTTCTTAAGAACATCCTCTTTTCTGATAGTGATATTCTTTAGTTTCTCTTCTTCATTTCCCCTAAATATCAGTTCCACCTGTAGCATCTCGTGAATTTCTTCTGTGAAAACTGATAAGAAGTAGCTGTTTAATGCTTTGCTTATTTCCTCACTATCATCAATTACTTCCCCTCTCTCTAACTTTAAAGGCCCCAATTTGTCTTTGACCTTTGTCCTATATACCTGGAAAAAACCCTTGGAATTTGCCTTGGATTCTCCTGCTATCCTGATTTCGTAGTCCCTCTTTGGCTTCCTTACATTTTTCTTAACATTCCTAGATAGTTCATTATACCTATCTCTGAGATGCTCATCCCCTCCCTTGAATTTTTTATAAATTCTTTTCCTTATTCCTATGCCATGTTTAAGTTTTTTGGTCACCCACCTTGGCTCATTCTTATTTGACCTAATTTTTCTGTATGGTATATTTTTTTCCTGTGCTTTACGTAATATACTAGTAAATTCAGCATAATCATGATCAATTTTTGTGTCGCCGGTGACCTCACCCATTCCTACCGGAGACTGACCTGACCGTTCCCAGGTGACTTCACCTAGGTACCTTCTTAGCCCATCATAATCCACCGATCGAAAGTCTGGGACTCTGACCATATTGTCATTATTTTTCGTTTCCCAATTTAAGGTAAACCTGATTTATCTGTGATCACTGTTCCCTAGTTCTTCCCCTATTGTGATATCTCTGATAATAGTTTCTGTATATGTTAATACTAGGTCTTATATATTGTCACCTCTAGTAGGTTCTGTAATTAGTTGTTTTAGAAAATTGTCCTTTACTGTGTCTAGGAAGTCTTGAGATTCATAGTCACCTATAATATTGTCCCAGTCAATATTTCTGAAGTTGAAATCTCCCATAATGCACAGGTTGTTGTATCTTGCTGGCCTACTCATTTCCTGTCATATGGGCTGAGCTTCTTCTTTATCAAGAATTGTGGGCCTGTAAATCACTCCCGTAATTAGTTTTTCTCTTCTTTCCTCAATTTCTACCCAGGCAGACTCGGTTCCTATGTTACCCTTTATTGAATTATTAATACAACATTTTAATGTATCCCTGTACTGCTTAGGACCAATCTGTTCATGACCATGTGGTGGGTTAGCCAAAGTGGGAGGAGGTATTTTATCATCCACCGGAAGTCAAGAGCGCAGTCACTTGAGTTGCTAGTTATTTAATTGTTGTTATTTATATGTTTCCATTGTTATACTATGTATTTTAGCTCATATTAATTACATATTGCACTCCCATGAATATTATGACTTTCTCCTATTTAAAACCTTGCCTTGTGGTATATGTAAGCTAGGTAAATTAAATAACGTTTATCTGGCTTGTGCTGATGAGCGGAGTTTACTTGATCGTCTCCTCCGTTCTACACCAACCTCACCTCACTTGAGGACACTCTGGTTCCAGCTCTTTCCTGTGCAGCATGTCTGTCTCTGTCCCTGTTCCAGCTCTGGCCTGTAAACATGACTGTTTTGGCCTCTCTCTGTTCTCATTCTGCACCATGTGGCTAAGGTTTATTCTTCCTGTCCTAGGGAATGTTAGGGGGGAATTAGTGATGCTTATGCTGGACTCCCAATTAGGTATACAAACAAATACATACACTAAAAAAGAACTTAAACCTAAATTAAAATTAAGAAGTCACCTTAACACCACACTCTATGCACGAGAGAGGTTGTCTCCAAACAGATTCCCACAGCCTCGTTTGTGTTTCAGTTTTAAGTGGAAGGGCTGTAGAGCCAGAGCCCACCATAACATAAATGCATTTTTAAATTTAACTTGGATTGTGATCAGTGAAAGAATATATGGGGTAAGCACTGGTAGAGAGATACACTTTAATCTTTTCAAAGGCTAAGACAATTCCTAATGTCTCCTTTTTAATGCTGACATTTGCCTTTTGATAACACTCAAATTTCTGTGAGAAATAGAAAATAGGGTGTAACACTTTATCAGAGGCCTCTTGTAGGAGTACAGCACCATCACCATAAACACTAGCATCGATGTGGAGAAGAAACAGGTTCCAAAGATCCGGTACCTGAAGCACAGGGGCACTCGCCAGGAGGTTCTTTCGGTTCTCAAGGACCCTCTGGCAATCATCTGTCAAAAGAAAGACCCTTTGTGAGCTTTAAATGTCAGTCAGAGGAGCAGCGACCTGAGAGAAATTCCGACAAAAACGGCGGTAATAGCCAGCCATGCCGAGAAACCCCCATCACTCCCTTCTTGTCGAAAGGTACAGGGCAGTCCATGATAGCCTTCACCTTCGCAATAATAGGACAAACCTGACCTTGGCCCACCACATGTCCAAGGTAGGTGTTATGTGCATACCCAAACTCACTCTTGGGAAGGTTAACCGTCAAGTTGGCTGGAGACCGGATGGTAAACAACGCCCGAAGTCGTCGTACGTGCTCCTCCCAAGTATCACTCTTGATGACGAGGTCGTCCAAGTAGACCCGAATACCAAGCAGGTCAGCCGTCAGGTAATTCATCAGACGCTAGAAGGTCCCAGGGGCATTCCTCATGCCGAATGGGAGAACCATGAACTCGAAGAGTCCAGAAAGAGTGATGATAGCAGAGGCCGGCATCGCCCCTTCCATAAGGGAGACTTGGTAGTAGTCTTTCAGCAGATCCAACTTGGAGAAATAGTGAGCAGTTCCCAGGCCGTTGCTAATATCGTGCATCCTGGGAAAGGGAAAGGAATCTGGCACGGTCACACTATATACCTTCCGGTAGTCAACGCAAGGGCGGAAGGTTCCACCTGGACCATTGGCGATGCCCAAGGACTAATGCTCGGACGGATCAGGCCCTGTTCCTGTAGTCATTTGACTTCTGCCTGTAGGAATTCCATCTTCTCAGAATTGAGGCAATAATGGGATAGGCTTCTCGAGTGTCGATGTCATGTTGCTCCTGAAGAAGACAAGTAATATCGGCAAGTGTACAAGTTTCTCACTGGGATCTCTTAAGAGTTCAATATTAGACAATTTGGATCTGACAAAAGGATAAGGGTCATCAACGCTTATATCATCCACTCCCTTAGCTGTTACCAGTGCTACATTATCTTTACTAATCACATCCAACTCATCACTATCCCTAGCATAGTACTTCTTCAAGACATTCACATGAATGCGACGCCTTTTCTTGTGCCTCTCTGGGGTTCCAATGACATAATTAACATCCCCTACACGATGTACTACACGATAAGGACCAGAGTACTGAGGGTAGCCGAGCTAAGACCTGACCACTTTCCTTTAAAGTTCGAAGCCTTAGCCAAGTAAGTATTAGCAACTCTAACAGTTACCTCTAGGTGCTCCTTAAATTTAAAGCGTATGCAGCAATTGGAGCAAAATCCTTCTCTCAGCCAGCAATCCATAAATCAATTGAAAAGGGGTAAATCCTAAGCTTTCCTGTGCACTGTCCCTCACAGAGAACAACAAAAGATTAATGGCCTCATCCCAATCCTGATACATATCTGAGCAAAAGGCTTTAATCACAGTTAAAGGGTGTGGTGGAAGTGCTCTGTGACTCCCTGACTTTGAGGTTGGAAAGCCGTCGAACGACACTGACGGACTCCCAAGGTTTTCAGTACCTGCTCAAACAACCCAGAGGTAAAATTTTATATCTGATCAAACTGCACAGTGACAAGTAGACCAACCTGTGTAAAAACATGGATCAGAGTCGAACAACACTCTTCGTGGAAATATTCCGGAGGGGAATGGCCTCGGAATACCGGGTAGCAAAATCAATGATGGTTAGCAGGAATTAATGACCTCGTTTAGTATTGGGTAGCGGTCACACACAATCTAAGACTACTTTATTGACAGGTTCTTCTACGACGGGGATCGGGTAAAGAGGAACTGGTTTGGTGACAGTCCGGCTTTACCTTTAACCTGGCAACTGTGACAGGTCTTACAGTATGAGCTAACATCTTGTTTAAGCTCTGGCCAGAAAAAAGAGACACAGTCTTAGTGTTTGTCTTACAAACACCAAGGTGACAGCCTACACGATCATGAGCGATAATAAGGATTTTTTGCCGTAAGGACATCAGAAAAACTCTCTGATGGACACTGGACAGTGTCCCAAGGGTGATCTGCCTGGGATGTTAAGGGTATGAATTTACGCACGAGCAGACCATACTTAATATAAAAACAATTAGATAAATTCTGCACATCAGATTCATCAATATGGTGATCGTAGTACCATTTGAAATCGAAATCACGAGACTGCTCTTGAATGAGTTTAACTCTAGTGATGGGAGAATCCCCAAAGCTTATGATATTAGGACTAGAAGTATCCTCTGGACCTGGTAGCGCGGAATTTAACTCATGAGTGAACTCATCGAAGAATTTAAAGAGAGAAACATCCTCCGAGAGAACATCTTGAATGTCACAAGGCTCATCGATTGGTTCAGACACAAGGATAAAAGGACTTTCCTAAGTTACGAGGAACTTCAGCACATTATGGCTCATGCTGAGAGTGATCGCACAAGTAGGAAATAGCTTAGGAAATTTACTTTCTAACTCCAGGGTGTTGTTCTCACAAGTAGGTCTGGTGGCGACTACAGGGCAAGGTGAAACTTGGTCTCCGGTAAGATTATTACCTATCAAGACTGAGATACCAGCGACTGGCAGACTGTCCACTACTGCTAAGGGCACATCATCCAGAGACAAAAGCACAAATAAGGTAAACTTTACACAAAGGATATCTAGGAGTTCCAGGTAACCCTGATTAAAATAATCTCACTCGTATAACAATCGAAGCTGGAAACAGCACTCTTAAATACGCTCAGTAGAGCGTAACGAAATCTGCAGCTCCATACTCTCTGTATCATGTGCCTGGCAGCCACTTATCTCGAGCATTACGAAATCGTCACCGGCGTCATTATAGGGTTAAGTATGCTAGACAAATCAGAACCTTTGTCTCGTAAAACTAACAGGGAGAGAGGGCTGGACTAATTCCTTATGGGTGCTAGGAGACCTTGTGAGCAAAATGGTGTAAATGAAGGTGGTACATTAGGAGGGGCAACTCCAGACTGTGTGCATACTGAATCAAGTTTGTCACTGGCATGGGGGTCAAATAATTCCACTGTATTAGGGACAACACTGAATGGTGAACAGGTCTGCTGTGGCCAGAGGAATTGCATTTAACAGCCAACTTCCTACAGTTGGCTAAGACATGGCCAGGTTGTTGACAATAACGGCATCCAGCAGTCTAGTCCTGGTAGCTTGCTCCTTGTGTGAACTTGATGATGGGTTATGACTTGGGTTGAGAGGACTGGAATAACGGCACATGTACTCTGTAAAAATTATCCTAATTAGTGAGAGGGCAGCAGGACCAGCTGCTGCCAAGGTGTGGAACCCACGATCATCTATATGAGCTCCCACCCAAGCAAGGATACAATGCTTGATTTACTGAGTCTAAACAATTCTAATAATTCTCCATATCCGAGGATGGACAACTCGCTCTCGACCCACTTACGACACAGAAGCTACTTCCGCCGGTAAAACTCGTCAAATGTTTGTTTGTCGGCTTTCTGGCAGTTGCGAAACTGTTGCGGATGAGCTGATATGCATTAAGCACGGCTGTTTTGACTACAAAGTAGTACTCAGATAGAGTGGTGTCTAATGTAGCAAATACCTCATTCGCTCTCCTAACAAAAGAACTGTGTGCCAACAGTACCTATTTATCCACAGATCAATCATGAAGCTTGGCTATTCTCTCAAAAAGAGGGAAAAATCCTTCAGCTTCTTCCTCGTTAAATTTTGGTACAAAGCGGGCTGCATTCTTTATACTAAAATGCAACAGTCCCTCACCCCATGCAAGGTGTGAAGCCTGGTCAAGGCGCAAACTCACATTCTCAGCACGTAACTTCTCGATCTCAAGGTTACAGGTCTCCAGTGCCAACCGTCTAAATACAACTACTTCACTAGGTCGACCAAGGAATTCCAAATCCTTCTCACTGAGAATTGCCTCTCCCAACAAATTTTTACACACTAGAGTCCGAATCCCGTCTTTCTTGTGTGTGGACTGAACTTCCAAACCAAAGTGGGCGGCTAACTGACTCCATTGAGCTTTAGTTAAATCACTAAGAACCTCCACTGATGAGTGAAGGTTCCAAGTGTTCCCTGACAAAGGCTGTGATGGGTAGGGAAACACCGGGTAACACTGAAGTCCATTTATTAACGGATAGGAGAAATACAAGTGGTGACTAGCGTGTGCCATGCATGGCCCACAGAGTCAGACTGAGACTGCCTTGCCATATGTCAGCCTCGGGGCAATGTGCCACATAACACGTGCAGTGTTGCCACGTAATTACATATATAAATGCTACTCAGCACAGTAGCTTATATACAAGGTTGCTACTCGGCACAGTAGCTTAGATACATAACCTACATCTCCCTCCCCCCCTCACGCTCATAGTCTTTGTCTTGAGCGGACTTCTTAGTCCTAAGTCGCTCCGAGCGTCGAGGTGCACTGTGGGGCGGATCCTCGTGAGGTGTAGGGGACTCGTCCTCGGTCAGGGGGCCAGCAGCAGGGGGTGGGACTGGCCGGAGGAAGCGGCGGTTCCTCCAGCAGACGCGGCCGCTCGGCATCCTGACCTTATAGTCCCGCGACCGGCCGACGCCCATCACTATGCCCACCTTGTCCCAACGTGTCGTTGTCGGGTCCTGGATGTGGACAAGGTGCACCAATCTCCAATGGCTGAAGAGGGCGGGCACGGCCGTCATACCGAGCCTTGGCGTCCTGGGCACGTGTAGCGGCGCGGCGGTCGCAGCTCTCGGCTCTGGTCTGCCACTCCTTCGCAAAGGCCTGGCGTGTGCAGGAACGCAAGAGCGAAGAGGGTGACCATACAGGATATGGGTATGGGAGCGTCCTGTGTGGGTGGGAGTGGACGCGGGTTCTGGGCAGCTCTGTGCAGCAGCGCCAGGCGCGTCGCTCGTTCATTCACGCACCCTGCTGGTGGTGTACCGAGCAGCTGGGATCTGCTCGGGAAAGTCTCTGGGCACCACGCCTAACTCCTTGCAGTGCTCCCACGACAACAAGGGTGTAGCGAGAGTAGGTTGCACGTCGATCCATCCGTGACACGACCTGTCGCCGTAGGTGATCTCCGCTTGAAAGGAGCCCACAGTGTCCGGCAACTGGGAACCGTCCGCATTGTAGTACTGTAGCTGCGGCGGTGGCCCCAGGTCACGTTTGGTGAGGCCCAGTTTCTGGAGGTGCTTCAGGCCTATCACCGTAGTATCAGCGCCGGTGTCCGGTATCACCTCGATGTGACCCGACACATCACCGTGTGTGACGGCGACGCGGATGGTAGGGGAAGGGGTAGCCCTGGGGCGTGTGGTCGATTCCACCCTCCTGATGTGACTCTGCTGTGGCTTGGGGCTGCGTGGGCCGCTTGAAGGGGGCTGCGTGCGAAGCACCCCGAGGGAAGTGTGCTGCTTTCCACAGCGTCCACAGGAAGCACTAGGCGGAGGCGTAGAAGAACGTGCGG